TGGCTGTTCTACAGACATTAACAAGGCCCTTAATTTTACAACATTTAAAAGCTTTGCTTTTTGGTTCACTGAGATTTTTTTAAAGCTTAGATGTGAAAATGACTACTGAAAGTTGTCTACATTTACGATTCATCCACACATGTTTATTTGATGTCAACATACAGAGGACAGCCCCGAAGTACTTCAGAGTATCAAGTATGTAGTTAAGTCTCTTGAGCTGTGACAGTGACAAGGGAACAGCTAAAAAAACAAAGCAGCGAAACAGAAACATGAGTTTCTTAAATTATAAAGTAACAGTGCTGATAATAAAGCTCCATTAATTATTGCAACAGTTAAGAACTTAATTTACCAATATTTCATGTTAGGAAGGCTCTTTATGAAATTTATTCAAGTTCTCAAAAGATTCGATGAAAATGTAAAAAAAGAAACACATGTGAATTTCTTTTTGATAGTCACTGAAGGTAAATATCCAGACAGTTTTATACAGTGTCGCCTAACAGAACAATCTTTAATGAACGCAGGTATACAGAAATCAAAAAAGTGCAGGAAACTTTTTACACTTTTAAATTGAGAGACAGTGATTTAACTATGACACAAAGTTCATGTAACAGATGCAGCCATGAATAAAGTCAACACCGTGGGAGTCTCCCTCTAGGAGAGGGCGTGTTCTTACAGTTTAACTTGGGATCTGAGTTTCAAAGGTAACAGCTGAACAAGAGTGCATCTGAAGAGCAAGCCCCAGACTTCGCTTTGGCTGGACTAATGTCCCCTCTTTGGGATGGCAATGGGGCCACGTGACGAGCACCCCGTTAACCTAAACACAGGATGGTTCTGATCGGCCTGCAGCCAAGGGCACGCTCTGCACAAGGAAAGGCCTGCGGGCTCCCGCTGCGTCATGGAGACGGATCGACCTTCCCTTTTGGAGCCCTGACCCAGCCAGAGGCACTGTCTCCAGGTCACTGAGGAGGCTGCACGTGCACGAGGCCCCTCTCACTGCAGAGGGAGACCTCAATAGGGAACGCCCCGATCGCATGCAGAGGTCACTGCGTCCCCTCCTTCACTGGTGCTGGATGTGGGGCAGGACCCTGGGCTGAGCCCATCTGCCAGGCCTCACCCACAGGGCGAGGGCAGGACACCCCATTCCAAGATCCTTCGTGGGAAAATCCACAGGGGAGCTCTGCGCCTAATTCTTCTTCGGGTTGTCAGATACACAAACGTGGCCTCTGGGCTTCCCAAAGGACCCCTTCTCCAGCCCTCCCTAACCCTTTGGCATTTTCCTCCTCACACTTTGAGCTTGCTCAGCAAAGAAATAAAACGTCTCCCCCCAGGCAAGAGGCGATGAGGACCTTGCACTCGGGTGCGGACATGGGATAAGGCCGGTTCCCTGACTTCAGCACATGTTTCGGACTCTGCAATGCCTTGATTACTGAAGATGCCCCGCAGGAATTGGAGGAGTCAGGGAGACATGGTGGCCTGGCTTTCTGGGACTTGGGTGTCAAGCCAAACCGTGGAGAACACCACTGAGCCCCCCTGGGACAGGGGTACAAGCCCATAAAAAATGGTCAAAGCGTTTTCTCCTCATTTCTGAATATCCTTGAGACAAGAATCATTGTTACAGCGCCTGTTTCTCCACCCTTCCATTTTTGTCTTGGGGCATTTATTCTTAGTCCCACACTAAGGGCTCACAGAAGATGACTTCCGAATTGCTAGAAGGTTCAATCAGCATAAAAGATTTCAATTTAGTCCCCAAAGTGATGGTTACTTCGCAAGTGTCCACCTACTCCTGCTTACACATTTCTTTTCAAAGGAAGCAAGGTCTGCCAAAGGCTCCCCTCTCAGGCCCCTGAGTAAGAAAGAGGCAGCCTCAGAGAAGGCTGGGGCTGCGGTGGTGTTTAGAAGGCCGCCTCATTGATGTCACAGCACAAACCTGGCTTCTGGAATCACCAGAAGAGGTTTAAAAGAGGCGAGCCAGGGTGGGTGGGGTGTAGAGAGGCCGCCGGCCCTGGCCAGGCGTCCTGCGAGGGCAGAGCGGCACAGGCCACTGGCCTCTGGCTGCTGGGTGCGGGACTAGGGCCTATCGAGGCACGCCTGAGCACTGCATCTCTGCGTTGCGTGTGCATCTGAGAAGCAGTGTTGACAGGCGTCAATGGCCTCTTCTTGCCAAGTGCTGGGATTTAGTCCAGAGGTCAGGTCAGAAAAGACATTCCTGCTCATGATAATGCTTATGCTGGAAAACGGAACATTTTCCATGAGGAAGCTCAAAGTTTGGTGAGAAAACTACAAAAAGGCCCCAGATTTCTCTGAGGGCTACCGTGGAAGCAGCGTGGCATTATACCTCGTACACGTGGGACCGGAAGGGACCGGAAGCACCGTGGCCGCCCCACGTCCCTCCCCAGGTCTGCAGGAGCCATTACTCAGAAGCACACGGAGGGGCAGGGAGCCCGCCCTCGCCAGTGCCCTCTTCTGCTCAAGCTGCCGGGCACCTTAGTTCTGGTCTTGGAGGGCACCTTGCATTCTGTCCTCCTGCCTGCAGAGGTGCTCTGCCGGCTGTCAAAGAAAGGGCAGGAGTCAGAGGGCACAGTGGACACGGGGCGGTGACACCCGCAGAGCCTGGCCAGCCCCTCCCCGGGGCTGACACCCCATTCGTTCTCCATGGGGCCCTGAGCCCAGCAAGGGAGCCTTGGGAGGGGCAGAGACACAGGGGGCCCCGACAAGGTTCCAGACAGACGTTAAGGACGCTACACTTCTCAGCAAGAACTGGAAGAAAAACACTGACCAAGCCCCACATCCAAAGCTTGGCACCATCCTGGTTTTTGAAACTGGAGGTGGGGTAGGGAGAGACACACTCAGGCTTCTGTTAGACAGCAGTTGCAGCGTTGCTTCCAAGGAAACCGCCGCCTCCTCCTCTTCCCTCTCCCACCCCAGCCCAGCCTGACTCCCAAGGCTCCCCCAGGCCCTCAGCGACTCCGCCTTCCTCCCAGCTGGTGGGACCAAGAGTGTTCAAGGGGCCAGAAGTCAGAGCGGGACCAGTTGGTCGTGTTGGTCACACGGGCACACATCCCCACGGCTTCCCCACCGGTGGGCACCACCTTCAGAACGGAAAGGTCACCACGAGTGTCACCACGAATGCTACTTACCTGTGATCAGCCACTCTCCATCCAAGCCCAATACTAAGTCCTGAATTTTGAAACTGCATACTCAATGCCTCAGAAGCATTTGAAACGGAATTTTAAAAACTAGGTAGGTGCATAAAATTGCACACAGCATGTTCACTATCATTCCTCTCCTGACAGCCCGATTTGGCCTCCAAAGCTGAAGCTGTCCGCAAGGATGGCTAGGAACAAAGGCCCATATGCTAAAGGCAGATAGGACAGCAACACCCCAGGAAGCACCGTTCGGGGCTGTGAGATGCAGGCGGGTGCGGCGTGCCTGGAGGCCGCTTGTGCCTCGTGTGCAGCGCGGCCCTGTGATCTCGGGACAGAAGCTGCCGTGTGAGGACCACTGGGTGCAGGGTGGCCGGCATGCTTGGAAGCAGGAAGCGGGAAGCAGGCCCGGGGACTGGCCCAGATGCCCTGGAGAGCTGTGTGAGCGCACAGGGAGCTGCCGCTCCATCTAACAGGCCTCTCCGCCGCAGAGACGGCAGTCGTCAGGCCTCCCTGCTAAGCCACACTCACTGCTCATCCCAGTACCAGTGATCGGGCCGAGATTTAATGACAAAGGTGTGCAAAACAAAAACGAACCTCAGCGCCCCAAGTCAGTTCACAGATAGACAATGACCACCTTGACATAAAACAGTTGTTCAAAGGACCATCTCCTCCACTGTGAAAACAGGGATTTGAAAAGAAGCCCCTTGCGCTGCGGGTAAGAATCCTCAAGACTTGGGACCAAACTGCTCAGTCCTGTGACGAAGCGCAGCATGCAGGAGTCTACATGGCACTGCTCCCAGCAGCCATGGCACCAAAGCCGGGGAGGCACTGAGGCAGACGCCACCGAGGGAGGCCAGCTCAGGGAAACTAAAGCCAGCAAGTGCCTCTGTGTCGGGAGGTACCTGCAGCTCAGGGAGGCTGACAGCCTTGACGAAACACATAGGAGGCAGCTGCCCGTGGCCTGTCACGTGCCTTTCGGACTCCCAAAAACCCGCCCCGAGGCCCCAAAAACTCCTTTTTCCTTGTTGGGAAAACACATAAGCAAAGTGCATCTGACATAAAAGATCTCGGCTTATGTGGCGAGAGGCACTTGTGACAATTGCTGTTGGCGTCCTCGGCCCGCAGTTCCCGTGACTGTCCAGGCCTGAGGAAGGTGGGTATTTTAGTGCACAGAATCTCAATCAAAGTGCTACAAACTGCTTCTTTGAAAAAAGATGTTTATTAAACAACTTTAATTGTCAGAAAATGACTAAAATGGGTTTTAAAAATTAAGGCTCTTCTCTTTCTGTGGATTGCCAGAACAATGTAAAAATAATATCAATCAACCCTGCTGAACGCTTTTTCCTCAAGGTAAATTTCATAGATTCCTAAACATTTTATGATTAAGATAAAAAATTGGACTAGAAATGACAATTAATGGCCATCTGTACTGAACACATACTCTGATCAGGTGTACAATAGTCTACTTGAGTAGTTACGCGAAAATATTCCAGTTAAAGCATAAGTTTTAATTTTAGCATTTTAAAGTCCTTGTTTCCCCACACTGGCATGATTTTCCTAAAGTGAAATAGTCTAGTACAGGACGCTGCCCTTGGGACTGTGTGCTCCCGGAAGGACGGCCGACTTGGCTGGCAATCAGTTTGATTATATTTTTTTCAATGCTCTAAGGTAAATTATCAAATGATTCAGAATGGCATGGCATGCAGTATCCAAAATTATGGCTCTGATGCATTTAGATTTACATTAAGAATAAGAAGTGCCATTCACATTCATTGTACACCCACCCCTCCCGCAAGAGAAAATCGCTACTAGTCAAGTTCTAGACCTGGGGCAGCATCAGGGATTAAAACTTACCACCTTACCAGGCCTTCCCCACGTGCAAATAAATCCCTCCTGACAAGCAGTGACTATACAGTCTTCCAGAAAAATTAACACGGTCAGTCTTTCATGTGCTATCTTTTTACAAATCAGCGGCTCTAACAAGGGAACGTCTTCCATTCGAGGACACAGGGGCGTCCCCAAAGTTTTAGCGGGGTCCGTTTTGGTTTTAGTAACTAGATTCAGTTTGTCGCTGCTCTTGCTAGAAATGTGTCCCATGCTATGGTTTCGCTTGTGATCTTTCTCGTGGTGCCGCTCCTTCCGGTCGTGGAGCGAAAGTGTTGCAAATTTGCTGACCCCAGAAGCAATGGCCCCATCCATGACACTGCTTTTGCTGCCAGTGTTCGAGACTGCCGAGTGTGGAAGGCTGTTGGACCGCGGCAGGGGCGGGGGCACAGAGTTCCCGGGCGTTGTGACACTGTTTCCGTTGCTTCCAGCAGGGGGACTCGTGGCGTTCATGACATTGGTGTGTGTCCTTGCTCGCGAGAGGGGTTGGTGAGGGAAAAGGATGTCTTCCGTCAGGTCCCATAAGCAGAGCTGCGTGTCCTGGCCCACCGAACCAAACCGGTACGTGACGCTCACCGGGCGGCTGTCCGTAGAGTTCCGCTTGGAGAGCCTGGACTGTGTACTGTTGGCTCGATCTCTGCCAAAGTGAAGAAGGTCCTGGAAGTCCTCGTCACTGCCACTAAACTCCATGGGGTCGCTTTCTTCTACACTCGTGGTATAGTGATCAAACGCCACCACACTGACCCAGGACTTGTGCCCGTGGCCTCGGGCTATTACTCGGCAATCCACAAAGGACCAGACTGTCACCAAGTCGTCCTCTCCGCCTGTCACGATGTACTTGCCGTCCGGGCTCCAGCACACGCACAGCAAGCCCCCAAAGTAGCTTTTCATCGTACCGTGCAGCTCCACCGAGTCAAAGTTGAACACCCGCAGAAACCCGTCCTGGCTCACGCAGGCCAAGAACTTGCCATCTGGGGAGAAAGCAAACTCGTTGAGGGCCCCCTCGCCCACCGTCCACTTAAGGAGAGGGTTCCTCGTGGATTTGCTCTTGCAAGTGTGCACAGCAAAGCTCTCCCCCTGCTTCAGAAGCTGGTAGTGGGGGGCTGTGGTGCCACAAGTGTGCTCCACATTATACAAGTACATGTTCCCGCTCGAGTGGGCTACAAGGAAAAGGCTTTCCGAACCGGGAACCCATTTGACACAGGTTACTCGCGACTTGTCTATTAGTCTCTGTGAAGACAAAGGAGAACACGTTATCACAATGGAGAAGGTCCAAAGGCCTACTTTTCCAGCAAGAAAACGTGCCTGCTTCTGGGGAGGGGGGGAGCGTCCATCCGGGCCCCCCACTGCATCCTGTGCTGGCCAAGCCAGCGAGGGCATGCTGGCCCCTGCGGAATTACTTTCTAAACATGCATGCAGTATCAGACCCCAGCTTTCAGCGAGGGAGTCAGGCGCCCAAGGCCGTCTGCGGAGGGCCCAGCACGTGCGTGCCGTGCAGGGCACGGGAGACACTGGGGAGTGCCAGCCTGGGCTTCGCCGCACTACACGTGGCCGCCCCCAGGAGGCCCACAGATAAAATCCCTCAGTCCCCACAGCCTCCCCCTCACAGCCACTCTGCTTGCCGTCACTGTAAGTCCTGCCTGACTACACCAGCTCCTCTGCTCCGTCTGCTTGAGGGTGGGGACCAGGTCTCAGCCTGGCTGGCAGAAGACCTCTGGGCTCGCAGGCCTGCCTGTCCTCGCTTGGGTAGCTACTCTGGGTGTCTCTATCAAAGTCTTCTCAAAATCCTCTCTGGGATGAGGTGGCATTTAGAAGTAGATGGAAGGGCAGTCCAGGAGAATGTGCTTGGTCACTGTCACTCCTCCACGCTCACCCTGGTCTCCTGATTCAACTGTTTCTTTAACAGGCTTACACCAGGAATCTTGCATGTAAAACCAAAAGAACAAAGGGCAAACAGCAAGCCCTAACAGAGGCACAAGTACCCTTCTCTGCTTGCAGATGGCACTGGGAAGGCTTCCACAAGGGGATCCCCCTCTAAGCTGTCCGATCTCGCAATCACATCACCAGAAAAGCACCGCGAGTTCCCGAGACTCAGGTTCTGCCCAGCAAGTACTACTGTCAAACATGTTCCACTGCACGATCACCCCCGGAAAGATGTCCCTGCAGGAGCCTGGCAGCCACTTCACCTAACAGGTGGGGATTCCCTCATTCAAGTCTCAGAAGGGCACTGGGCACACAGATGAAGGCCCTGCCAAGAAACATGCCACTCTGCCTTGGGGGCTCTGCAGCCATATGTCTGCCATGTGTGCTACATCTTTACAAAAGATGTCAGAAATCAGATAGTTCAATGTTTAAAAGAAGGGCTGGATAAGAAAAAAATTAATGAGCCGAGCTGGCTGGGTGCTGTGGCTCATGCTTGTAATACAGCACTTTGGGAGGCAGAAGTGAGAGGACTGGGTTGCCTAAACCCAGAGATTTAAGATCAGCCTGGGCAACACAGCAAGACCTGGTCTCTACCATTTAAAAAAAAAAAAAAAATAAGCTGGGCTCAGTGGCTCAGCCTGTAATCCCATGCTTTGGGAGGTTGAAGTGGGCGGATTGCCTGAGTGCGTGGGTTCGAGACCCACCTGGGCAACTTGGCGAGACCTCATCTCTACAATAAATCAAAAAATTAGCCGGGCATGGTAGCACGTGCTTATAGTTCCAGCTACTTGGAAGGCTGAGGCAGAAGGATCGCTGAAGCCCAGCAGGTCGATGCTGCGGTGGCTGGGAGTGTGCCACTGCACTCCAGTCTGGGCGACAGAGTGAGACTCCAACTCAAAAAAAAAAAATTATCTGGGCATGGTGGTGCATGCCTGTAGTCCCAGCTACTCAGGAGGCTGAGATGGAAGGATCACCTGATCTCAGCAGGTTGAGGTGTGGTAGCTGTGAGTGTGCCACTGCTCCAGCCTGGGCAACAGAATGAGACTTCGACTCAAAGAAAAAAAAGACATGTAAGCTCAATGCATGAAAATTAGACCTCAGAAGTTGCTAATAAATGACCCAGGGAGAAAAGAACAGGGGGCTTGAACCCTGCACAGCATGCAGACCTGGAGGCTCAGGGACCGGGGGTTGGACAAAGGTTACTCAGCAGCAGGTGTCACTGCTTGCTGCCATAGAATGGCATGGTGGGCCCTCTTAAATTAACAGGCACATGGCAAGCCAGCCTTGGGGACAGTTGACAATTTCAGCTTCTGCCTCTTTTCCTTCCTGCCTGGTGATCTACCTATAAAAATACCTAGCCTATGTTAATGCCAACAACCTAAAAACCTGGCACTACTCTAGCAGGATTTCCATTAGTCCTACACAATTTCTTTGGCAAGAGGTTTAGAGAGATAATTCACGTGGCCAAACCAAGACTCTCCCGGGGAGGGGGTACAGGGATTACGCTGACGGTAGGTTACGAGGCCCCATTTACATCTGAGCTCTGTCAGGCCTGCTGTGGCCACCAGGCCCGGCTGCTCCAGCACCTACTGATTCCCAGAGAAGTGACTGTGCCCGATAGCCTAGGGCCTAAGGGCGTGCACAGCTTCCTCCCACCCACGGCCTGGTCAGGGCTGGGGGGCCCAATTGCTGTCCCTCTCCCGCACCCCACATTTCACCAGAACCAAGTCAGCGCTCCCTTGCCAAAACCCCTTCACTGTTACTCTATTTCTCAAGAGTGGAGAAACAAAAGAACATGAAAATTCCCAGCAGCATGGTTAGGAGCTCATTTTATTGGGGGCCTAAGAAACCACAACAAAAAAAGTTCCATTAGAACTCAAACTGCAATATGATCAAGTAAAAATAGTACTGCTTTGCCATGACAAAAGACATTAAAAGCCAGCGTTCCCATATTTTAAGAAGTTCCACTGAGATTCCCCTAAAGAAACATGTGGTGCAACTTACAGACAAAAACCTGCTCCCATCTACTGCGACCCTCCTCTGGGCACCTACTCAGGCATGACCATCACACTACAGCACTGAGGGACTGGGTACACCAGTTTAATCAAGTGCAGACCAAAAGAAGAAAAAAAAACTAAAGGCACTGGCTCCAGTTCTACTGCGACAGGGACTTCTCACTTGCTCTGCCCCGTCGGTGCTCTGCTGGATTGTGTGCTGGGGAAAATGCTGCTTCACCCGGGTACCCTGCATCTCAGCCACCTTGAGGGTGCACGCCAGCAGGCAGCAACGCCTACGAGCACGCCAGCAATGGCCTGGTCCTAACCTCCACCCAGCGTGCCAGGCACTGGCAAGCGGCAGATACTCATTGACCCTCAGGAGAACTCTGCAAGGTAAGCTGTTTTGACGAGGTAGTACGCTCCTAATCCATGTTGAAGTACACAGTAGGAGCCCCACATTCTTCCTTCCAGCCCAGATCCGTCCCAAGTCATGGGTCAGTTTGGTTCTCTCCAGAGTCCTTGTAAGTGTACAAGCTACACACAACCCCCTTCTTTTCCATCCAAAAGGAAGAGTCTACGCATGGGCTCACTCTGCTTCCCCCCTCGATAATCCACCTGGGCGTGTGTCTGGGCACAGAGATGCTTCCCTGCTCCTTTCTACAGCTACAGAGAGAGCATTCGAGTATATGCATACATACAGAGAACGAGAGTCGAAGTCCTCCCCATGGATAGCAGCGCAGTCATGACTCACCTTGTACACAGGGCAGTTTCCACATGTGGGAGGAGCACACCTGCGGGGCCAATTCCCAGTGGTGCTACTGGGTCAAAGGTATATACATTTATCATTTCTATAGATAACGGTCCAATTACCTCGCATGGAGAATGCCACCATCTCCATTTCCACCAGCAGTGGAATGGCGCCTGCTGCCCTGTAGGAAGGTAGGTATTGTTTCCATATTACCCAAGAGAAGACACAGGCTCAGAGAGGCCAAGAAACATGCCTCAAGTGCCTCTCATTCATTCATTTATTCATTCATTCATTATTATATACTACATGCCTGGCACCACACAGCACTGCTTAAAACTGACATCCCTTCCCTCGTGGAATTACATCCAAGTGGGAAGAGACGATGAATGGAATGTACCCAATCTGGTGGTAAGTGCTGCGGAGACCAAACCAACCAGGGAGAGAAGACCAGCTCTGGGGAGGGGCTGCAGTGATTTCTATGTGGCTGAGAAAGGCCTCTTTCTCTGGTGGTGGGGCACAGCTGAGCAAAGACAGAAGGACGAAGGACAGCAAAAGCCAGCTGAGAGGCTGCTTGGGAAAGTACCTTACGCAGAGGGAACAGCTCAAGGGCTCAAGGTAGAGGAAGCACCCCCTAGAGACAGCAGAGCCGGTGCCAGCGGGACAGACAGGCCCGCAGACCCAAAGGAAGCATACTGTCTTTTGCCGCACAGACACACAGCAACTAGCGCTCCAGACCTGCCCGCAGGGGCCACTCACAGGATTCTCAGGAACAGGGAGCCAGCTGCCAACAGATCCCGACTCTAGGGCAAGGCGATAGAGAGTGTTTAATTTCAATTGCTCGGGTTGCTGTTTAAATTGGGTTTAACAAAAGAGGAAGAGAACAGAATGCATTTTACTCCTGTCTTTCAAACTAAGAAACACCTGAAATATTTTAATCAATAAATATAAGAAAAATAACACAGCTCAGTCTCAGGAGCATAGGGGTGTATGTTTGTTCCAGAAAACGTCTACTGAAAAAAAGAGGAATCTCTGTTTTTCAGTGGGCAACGGTAAGTCATGGAATTTCACTGCTGGGCTTGAGTTCTCCAAATCAACAGGCCTCTTGAGCTGAAGGAGCAGGTTGAATAAACGCCCAGAGCAAAACCCTGGGCCCTCTGGGGAGCTTGTGGCTAGAGGTGGAGCAGGGAATGGGAGAGACAGGGGACAAGGGGCAGTGCTCAGAGGAACAGCCCAGCGACACTCAAGCGGAACAGCCCGGGGGTCATGGCATCTGTTTCCGCTGAAGCATGTGAGCAGGGGCAGGGATTTCGGCCCGGAGTAGTGAGCTGGGACCAAGGGCTATGAAGTCGCAGGTCGGGGGCTTCAGCAGCGACCCTGAAGCCCTGCACTGCCCAGTTCTGTAGCACTGATCTGAAGGGAGACGTGCTGTGAGTGGAAAACATACACAGGATTCTGAAAAGTTGGCATAAAAAGAAGAATGTCCACTATCTTGTTCATACTTTTATGCTGGTCATATGTAGAAATGAGATTTTAGATATAATGAAATATATTCTTAAAATTAA